ATAATTCCAGAACTTCTTATGTTGCCCTAGCAACTGTTTAGGAGGCTTTTACATCTAGGTCATCCTCATTTAAAAACATGGCTTATTTTGCAGAGGTGAATGGCTTCTGGCCAGTATGTTTTGATGGCTGGAGAGCATGCTGGTCGCTGTGAACCGAGATGAGCCTCTGGTGACAAGGATGCCACTGCCATTTGTGATTGGCACCTGGGTTCATCTCAACAGGAAAGGAAGGAGCTGAACAGATTCAAAGTTTCTCTTTCTCCATTATAATTTGGCAGAACCACTGCTAGGACTAAAACAGGCCAGGCACTTGTGGACAGTTGCGTTGCTGCTAGCCATTGTCGTAGTTGTTCTGGAATCACTCATATAGAACACAAAAAACTGTGTCAAAGAACATCAAGGTTCGGCACGCCAAAGCCAGCAAGTTCCCGAAAGAAGGCTGGCTGTGCAACCAGAATTCATTTCTCTTGGGAAGCTGCAATTTATTCCAAGGAAGTTTCAGTGTAATTTAAGGCACATTCATTTTGATAAAACCCTTAATTCCATGACCTCATACTATCTCTCCGCACAGGAACCTCACCATTCTCCCCTAAGTCAACTGACTCTCAGTCCTAGTCTCCTTGCTCAAACCTTACAGCTTCCTTATTAAGCTTCCCACCAGTTCCCAGTCTACTTGTCCAATCAATCCTACCCTCCCTTGTCTCCCAATTCCATTATCCTTTCCCGGCCAGCCTCAGTTTTTCCCCTCCAACTTTCAGTCACAATTTCTCCACCTCTACTATTCCAGTCCCAGTCCCTCCCTCCTTCTCTCCTATTTATTTTGGGTCTGCACATCCTAAACTCAGAACTCCGGTCATCTGAAGAAGTGGGCTGTGCCCACGAAAGCTCATGATACCATCTACATGTTTTGTTAGTCTATAAAGTGCTGTCAGACAGCTGTTGTTTTCTTCTGTACAGACTAACTCTACTACCCCCTGAAGCTTCTTAATATGCTCCCTTTCATGTTAGTTTTGACATAATTTTCTTAGCACTATATTTGCAGTAACTCCTTTTTTGATTCTCCAGTATAAAGACAAAATTCAGATTTTTTTCAAAAGCCATATATTCACTATCTAGAATGGAGTTAGTGAATCTTGGATCCTGATTCTGCTTCAAGATTCTCTATAGAAACTGTTTTACATTTTGTAGTAGGCCAAGTAAGCATAACCTGCAAAGACAAACATGTTAAACTTCATACCAATTCCCCACTTTCACTGAGAGAAATGATTTTGATTTTACTTAATTCTAGACATAGTGAAAGTTCATTTAGATGCAAATCATTGGCTTGAACCAATATGTGGTTTGTAGTAAACAAGAAGTAGTCCTGTGGCACCTTAAAGATTAACATTTATTTGGGCATATGCTTTTGTGAGCTGGAACTTTCTTCATTAGATGCATGAAACATCAGGCTTATGCCCAAATAAATTTATTCGCCTTCAAGGTGCCACAGGACTCCTCATTGTTTTTGCTAAAACACACTGAACAGTCTTAACACATGAATACCTGTTCTCACCTTCACGTGACATTGTAAACAAGAAGCAAGTGGTATTATCTCCAACATATGTAAACAAACTTGATTGTATAAGCAATTGGCTGAGCAAGAAGTATGACTAAGTGGACCTCAAGTTTTATTTTTCAATGTAGTTAGTTTATGTCCATAATTCTACATTTTTTAAGTTTACGATAAAGAGATTGAACCATAGTACTTGTAGTCAGAGAATTAAAAATAATTTGTTTTATTTTTACAGCCCAAATATAAAGTGAGCTCTGTGTTGTAAATTAAATCAATATATTTGAAAATTTGGAAAAAGTCCTAAAATATTTATATAAATGGTATTCTATTGTTTAACAGCACAATTAATTGTGCATTTTAAAAAAATGCTGTGATTAATCAATTAATTGTTTTAAATCACTTGACTACTGTAGTATCAATAAATTACATGGAAATTTTCTTGAAATCAATTTCAGCTTCACAATAGTATAGCATTTAAGATTAGGGCCACCTGAGATTATTTTAAAATGGATTCAAGTCTTCATTCATCTTCCATACCCACCCAGAATAACACACGTGGTTTCTCAGAAGAGGAGTGTCTCTGTGAAGTGTGAAGAATAATGGTTATTATATGTCTGCATTGAGCCTGACCCTTGGTAGAATGGCACACTCAATGGGTAATAGTTACTCAGATCATACAAGTGCTCTATATTCTTACATTTATTTTTAAAAGATCAAGTTAACATTAAGCTGGGTTTTAAACTAGCCAAGGTACCTTCAAGAATTTCTTGTAAATGTAATGAAATACTGACATTTGTTTCAAATACTTGCCAATCACCAACCACATTTTGAGATCAAGTCTGACCGAGTGAAGGAAAATTCTAAACAGATATGGAGGCCATCACTGCTGTCTC